CTAAAGGTGACATAGATACTTTATTATGGTATAGTATTTAAATGTATGCCTGAGAAACACATAATATTGCCCCTTTTTAATTTGGTACTTTAGTTCTTAGCTACAATTTTGCTAATTTTCGCTTTTAATTTATGTTTGACTACAGCTTCTACCCATGGTTTTGCTAAATTTTGCTCTTAGTTAAATCAGCTGTTGGAAAGGCACGTTTTGTGTACCTTTAACAACAGTCCCATGGARAGAACTGAGTCAAGAAGTGCATCCTAACTAAAACTTGTGCCAAAACAAACATGAGGTTGTGGTCATTCTGCTCATTTCAGCTCAGCTTGGTTCATTTCACTGTTCTGCTCAGTTTAGCTGGTGTTCTGATTGCTTCAGCTTTAATATGGCCTTTTGTAACTTTACCATTCAATTTCACCGTCTTTAACAAACTCCTGCAAAGTCACTAAGCACACTGCATTTTCACAAAAATGCTAATTACCTATATTTTTCATATTTATTAATGTCAACAGCTTTGAAATATTCTGCTTGGTGATTCTCAACTACATGAATAAAACAGTCAACTGTTTTATGCATATTGTTTTACTTTGTGACAAGCGTTAAAACAAAGCAAACCCTACTGCTAATCATCTACAAGTGTTTATGCTTTGTCAAGCTTCCTTTTGAGTTCTGATTCTTTAATTGAGAAAAGCAGCACTTATTTTATCCAATTCCTTTTTCAAGGAGAGCTTTTTTGAAATTTTTTTTACCACTTCTGACAGCCACATTTCATCACAGGTTAAGAGAAAATGATCAGTAACACAGTAGATTAAGGAAAATGAGTAAAAAACACAAATGGACAAATTTTAATGACTAACTGTGAAGTAAAATTTACTTGCAGAATTAGATTATTTTCAACAATAAAGGTAAAATGATGGTGTGTTTAAAATAAGATCCTGTATAATCCCAGTTCTGACAAACAGAACATTTCAGTCACTTAATGTAGTTTTAGTCTACCGTAGGCTGCAAAAGTATTCACCCCCTTAGTATTTTGTAAGGGAATGGGTGATGGAGGGATAGACAGATCGACAAAAAAGTTCATCAGTTTGAGATGTGAAACTGAAGACAAACTTCCTGATGTTTCTTATGTACCATCTAGTGGTTCATGAAATATTTTGTAAACAGACAAACATGCAGATATACAACCCATTCTACTTGTAGCTTTAGGGCTAGCTGTTTTTGTGCCCAAACTCTTTCCATGTCACCATTTTCCCAACAAATAGCAACCAATCATTTCCTTTTTTAAGACAAAATTCAGAGTTTTGCACCTATATGCATCAATTTCTGCAATGGTTTTGAATAAAAGGTTAATTAAAAAAGGGTTGCTGCATAGTTGAATTTAGCCTCATATTGAGTAATGTTGAGAGCTCATTAACTCTCATGTTGCTTCATGGATTGTTGCCTCTACAAAGATCCTCACCCTCTACACCCCTCCACCCAGATCCTTTGTACTGCTGTTCGTGCAGATTGGACAGGACAGACGGTAGTGGTGGTGGGGAACCAGGACAATGGTGATAAATTTATGCTGACCACACGCAAATTCCATTTTCAGACATTGTTTTCACCACTAGTCATTTCTTTAGCCCAATGCTAACCCTAATTTTTAACATTACCAGTAAATGCCTAACCCTAATCCTACACTTAATTCATATTTTAGCTCTAAAACTACACCCTAACCCAAAATTTATATCCCACCATGTTAGATTTAGACTTTGATTTTGATACAAATTACATATCCTGAAATTTTAGGTTATATCCTAAACAGTACTACCCAGGCTTGCAGA